TCTGAATAAATAAGCACAATAACATATATTACTATTTTTTTTTAACCTCTTAAATGAAACATGCGTTTTTTATCGATTGTAGAAGTCGTAGGCTGGTACAAAGAAGCATGGACAGATGATGGTTAGGATTCAAAATCCATTGATTTACAGTTCTCAGAATTGCAAAAATCGAATCAAGGCAAAGTGTATAAAAATCAATTCATTCAATTTAAAATGCCTGTTTGTGCGCGTCTGATGCACAGAAAATTCGTGATGACACACACACACACACACACACACACACACACACACACACATATATATATATATTCTTAAGCATTGTTTAGTCGGGAGCACAAGCTTACTGACAATATCTGCTGTATTTTCATATAGTTTTCAATCTAAGTACTCATCACTGTTTAATACCAGGGATCAAATGGGAAGCGATATGTCAGCGTGACTTGATCTTTTTATAGGATTATGGCGCCCGGAAAGTTCTTTTTTAATTATTTCAACTCAAGCAAAGAAGCAAGGCCTCTGAGACACAAGTGGTGGAGTGTTACTGAAAGTGAAAGATGAGTAGACGTGAGGCGAAAGGACAATAAAAGAACAGGTTTCAGGAAAATAGAAGATGGCGATTGACGTTGCAGTTAAATCTTTGAAGATCGTAGATGACGGAGAAGCAAGAAACCGTATAAGAGTTCCACAGGTGAGAAGTGCTAGAAAAGAAAGTATTAGAATAGAACTTATGGTTACATTTAGCTATTTCACCAGCGAAACGATGACTCTTTATCAGAAAGAATATAAAAACAAAATATAAAGTTAAATTTATTTAAATATTATTAATCACAAAAGACTACTTTCACTTTCATTTTCAATAACTGCAGCCGAACGCGAAAGCATCATTTTCGATTCCACGTTGAAAGAAACCTGGTGTTTTCCCCGAAATTGTCTGAAAGGTCTGTTTTCAACCTCTTCTATGTTTCTGAATATACAGCGATTTATGGAATTCTCTAGTGAATAAAACAAATAAAAATCTTTAGCTGCTAAAACCTTCCATTCTAGATATCTCATTTTTTGCTTGGTTTGATTTGCAGAGTGTGCCCTTTCAGGGTCATAATGGAGAATGACAACTTCTTTTCTTTAGCATACCAGGACGCTTTCGACCACATAATGCTTCGCTTACTCGATCAAGGTGCTAGCAATAAGCGCCTATAGTGGTGGTCATTCGATATTTCAGTAATATTTTCCCGTATTGGAAGATACCTTTCATATTTCACGAGGCACAGAGCAAACTGTTGGCGTTAGCACCGGTTTCTCATTTTGTGATGCCCATTGTCTTTTTCGTTTTCTGTTGACATGCAAAACCCATTTTTCATCATCTGTAACAATGCGATGCAAGGTTGGAATTCATGCTTAAAAAGACTGCTGCTGATAATGAAACGTTGTGTTCAGTTCTAAAGAGAAAATTCATAAGGACGCCAAATATTATAGTTATAAGTTTTGCCAATTAAATTCTAAAATGCATTATAAACGACAGACTGTCGGATACAAGAGTTGATGAACTAATTCTTGATGCAGTTTACTACCATTCAACTTTCGTTCAGCTTTGGTTGACTCACTCATAATTCATAACTGTTACATACGCAATTACTTCCTGAACAGACTAAAAATATTCACATACACTGTCACAATTATATTTTGTAAAATGGTAATATTTCACGAAAAGAACATAATAACCGGATAACCAAATCCAAATCCAGGATCTTGTCATTCCTTTTGGAGGAACCGCTCCGTGATTGATCTTGTATTCAGAAGTGTAGCCGTAATTATCACTTGCAAGTTGGTGATTTTGAATTCAGAGTTGTCTTTCTCCGAGATCGGTTACTAAATGAGCCAGTATGTCCAACTCTTTGGCCCATAGCTGGAAGGAGATAAAGTATGGTTTTCAAGGTGAAGTGAATGTAACTAACTCGACTGAAATTCGAAATCGCCTCTCCGATTCTCAATCCGAACCGGTATAAAATAATCCACCCTGCTAGATAACATGTAACATACATAGTGGGTGTATTTGGGGTAGTAATTTTTCAATCATTTAAGTTTGATTAAAGTCTAAGAAAAAATCTTTGTTAATGATTTTTTTAAAATTTATTTTTATTTTTTTTATTTCGGACAATTTTCCTGGTTTCCAGTGAAATTTGGAAAAGTAAATTGTCCGATGTTTGAAAATTTTTGGCTTTTCAGAATCTATTACCAGATATTTTTTTTGTTGATAATGTAGACGATATATATATATATATATATATATATATATATATATATATATATATATATATATATATATATATATATATTTATTTTTTGTCTGTATTTTGATGTATCAGTTATTAGTTACCCCCAAAAATCTTTAAATATACAAATAGAAATAAATGCGGTAAGAATTTTTGCCGTTAACAATAAAATTTTAAAAAATCCAGACGACATGCATTTAACGGATGTTAGATTTAATTGAAAAATACATCCCTACCCCCTACCAAAACGTAACTAATAACTGATACATCAAAATACAGAGATAATGAACACCCAGACACCCCTTGTCTAGTGGGAGTGGATTTATCTGTAACCTTGGAAACGTGAATTATGATTTTAGCTGTGTCTTTAAAACCCAGTAATTTTAAAAGTTACTCCAAAATTCGCTTGAGGATGAAATGGAACTAATGTCTTTAATTTAATTACAAAATTAAATTCGGAGCTTTTAGCTTCCATTTTTGAAACATGGTTAGAACTGTGTAGCGAAAAAAAACATATTTTAAATCAATTTATATATATATATATATATATATATATATATATATATATAAAGACAAAGGAATCCTTATCTTAGTCGACGCGTTTCTGAGGGACTTTATCATTTGCCTTGATAAAGTCCCTCAGTGCTGAGAGTTATGCTTTACTATACGCGAGTGCCGAATGCAGGAGAGACTCTGGCAACAGAGACTCTGGCAACAGCGACTCTGTAGAAATTTACTAAACAAATTTTACAAGCAAAATTGCTTTTCTTTCTTTCTTTTCTTTGACAATCTTCTAATAAGGAGGCGGCTAGTGATGGTCAATAAGGTAATCTGGTATTCTCTGCTCAACGACAAGCTCCCTCTTAATCTGTGTGTTTATGTCTGAGTGTGTGTGTGAGTGTGTGTCTGTGTGTGTGTGTGTGTGAGAGAGAGAGAGAAATGTTATAAATAAATCAATATATAATACTATTCACATGTTTTACTGTATTACTATGATTGAATCATTGATTTATACATCTATCTATAACGAGAGATAAGAAGGTTAATTGAAAAGGATCAGGTCTAATATAGCAAGAGAAGTGTATAAATAGTCCGTTTTGGAGCCACTTTAGAGAGGGCAACCCGGCTGTGTAAACAATATGGGTGGCTCGAGGGACAGTCTCTTAATCTTGATCGACACGACGAACAAAACGATATTGCAAAAGACAGCAGCTGAAATGGAGTTTGCGGAAAAAATGGCCGCTGTCGGCTCAAATAAGGAACGACCAAACATGGCTTCGGGGCAACTCTCTCTCAACTATTCAAAAGCTGCAATGAGAAATCTATCTATAAAAATTATAGAGATGACATATCTTTTGCTTTCTTACCTCTTTCGATTTTTTTCTTTTTCGCCCCGGTTCTTATTGCTTCTCTTTTCTCCTTCCGTACTTTCTTACTCTGGCATTCCAACTGTTTTTAATAAATTGTCAAATAAGTGAATTGAACACAGAATAGATGGTGATAATGGTACAACATTTTAATATGATACAAAACAATAACCCAAATATGATATATATATATATATATATATCAGGTTTTCATATATATATATATATATATATATATCACAATATATATATATATATATATATATATATATATATATATATATATATATATATATATATATATATATATATATATATATATATATATATATATATATATATATATATATATATATATATATATATATATATATATATATATATATATATATATATATATATATATATATATATATATATATATATATATATATATATATATATATATATATCCTGGATTTAATTAATTTGAAACTTCTTTAGAAATCATTTATTTACATTCAACATCATCATTGATAAGACACCGGAGGTGTTGAAACAAAATAGCTATTTTTGTAGTGATTTTATAACATATTTATGTTATAATTTTTAAATAAATAATTATATATATATATATATATATATATATATATATATATATATATATATATATATATATATATATCTGTTTGTGTATTTAAGCAGCAAATTCTCTTTTAGGCATGTCTGACTGAATAAATTACAAACAGCTTTCCTTATTTTTATCATAATCCTTTCATATTCACGTATATTTTCCGTATATTACAATTAAATAAGGCAAGAAACGCACTGTAAAGTTACAGTGCATTTCTTCATTGCATTTCTTAATTGTAATATATAATGATAAAATTAAGCAGACATAACGTTTGTAATTTATTCAATCAGCCATATATATATATATATGTGTGTGTGTGTGTGTGTGCAGGGTTTTCAACTCTTTTAGAAATTGCTAAACTATCAGCTATACACAACAGTTTTCTGAATGACTTAAAATGGTTTGAAGTGAACTAATCCTCTAGGTCTTAAAAGAAGACAATCCTTGACTACACCTATAGACATGCGCTACACAATCGCTGATTTAAACAAAATTGTTAGGAAAGAACATTCCCATGAATACTAGAAAAATCGGTAATAGCTAGTGGAGTTGAGAAGTCTGATTTCCTGAAAAACTGTTTTTGAGAAATAGATTTTATAAATTTCAACCCCACCAGTAACCCTAACCGTTCTCCCAAAGAACATCGAATATTTCCAGTATGGAAACGGATAATCTCACCCTTAACATTTTGTAGTCATTTTTCTTCTTTTTTTTTAATTTTTTCTTTAGTCCTTTTCTTTATACACTGCGTGCGGTGATATAGTGTTGAAATACCGGTTCGCGTACGGTCACCGAAGTTAAGCAACGCCGAGCCTGGTCAATACCTAAATAGGTAACCGCTTGAGAATACCAGGTGCTGTAAGTTTCGACATGCGGTGTTTTAATGTCTCAGAATTGAGAGCCGAGTTCCAATTCTAGTGGGGTTCGTTATATTCCCTTACGCCAAAACACCTTTGGGGAAAGGTATGAATACACCTCTTCCCCCCACCAGCTATAGGTTAATAATTTTTTTTTAGATAATAATGATTTAGTCGCATACCTTTTTAGTAAGACTTGTATCACTAAATCATTACTATCTAAAAAAATAAAATTCTTACAATCTACAAATATTTTGTGGCTTTAAAATCCTGCAAAGGGTTGATAAGCCGTAGAAAAATAATCATTGAATATTATTTTTTTTCGACATTTCTTTTCATGCAATTTAAAATCAAAATATTCTTTCTTTCTTTCTCTCCCCACACCGGGCCCACAATCCGTGTTACATTTATCATAGACAATCTTCAGTGCAGATTATGATGTGATTACTAACATCATAGTTTGTGCCAAAGATGTGTCCTCTTTTTCAAGATTCTATCCATTTGATTCGCATGTGTCGATGATTCTATTGTGTTGAATCCGTCTAGCATATTTCATAATTAGTAATTTTTAAAAAACATTAGCCTAGAGTAATGTTTTAAATAATCAAGTGTGGTCTCCCCTTGTTTTGTTACTCTCCTTTTTGAGAGAGCTTTTTCGTTTTACTGGGACTATAAAAGGACACTATACGCGAACATTGTATTTTCAGTTGAATAAAACTTTCTTAAAGACTAAACCTGTGTACCTTTGTCATTATAAGCAACTCTCGTGAAACGCACCCTCTTCGTAGATGCCTATCATGTTAACCCTTGTCGTAATCACTTCCCAACAGGAATGAGTATGTTTCAGAATATCATCCAACTTTTTCTTCGAGACGCGTATGAAATAAGTTGATAATGACATTTATTAAATTTAGTCTGTCTAGCAAAATAAAGGAGTTTTCAGTGAGGATCAAACACATTATACAATAGTCTTTGAGACGAGTTTGTTAAACATTACTCCAGCAGTGAAGCATCTATTTTAAAAAAATCATATTGTTCTACAATCGATATTTCAGAAAATATAAAGCATCTCTCTTGAAAACACTAGAAAATAATATTTCAGAGAATACTGCTTAGAGAGTATTTTTTTCGTTAAAATTTCTCACGCGTGATATAAATAATTAGATATCAACCAATTAAGTTTAGTTGGTTGGTTTTACAAGATGCTATTCCTTGTTGGGCAATTTAAAGTATGGAGTAGCAGTGAGGATCGAACTCACGAAACTACTTAAACTGGTCCACACGTAAAAAATAGGCAAATATTTTGGGTGGAATCATTTTTATGGATTAGAATTAGGCCTTCCTCAAGCCACAACAGTTGTCAGAATCGAAAAATATTGATTTCTTATCCTTTTATAAAGGGTGCCTTGTTCACAATATAAATCCAGTTAAAAATCAACCCCTGACATTTTACAGGACTTAGTTATTTACAAATGTCAAATTTGTAACAGTGCATACGCCATTGATATCTGCATATTAAAAAAAAAATTGAATGTTTTAAACTTAAAAAAAAATGATATACTCTTTTCGCAATCTATCCCGAGATCAATTTCTTTATCTCCTATACTAAATTTGTTATAACGGATTCATACATAGTGCTATATATATATATATATATATATATATATATATATATATATATATATATATATATATATAAAAGAAATATAGTTTTAAGGTGTACTATATTTATGGGATAAAGCGCTCAATATCAGAGATAGAGCGTATGTAAATTAAAAGTGAACATGACGATTCCGTATGGCATCAAATAGCCTGTCGCCTCTGAGTTTTGACTTCAATGTTTCACTTTTAATATATATATATATATATATATATATATATATATATATATATTATATAATTATGTAAAGACGAAAGGAAAACTTTTCTTTACGACGCGTTTCGTCCTCTGATGGACTTTATCAAGGTAAGGATTTTATTTTGCAAAAAATATTTATAAACAGAAGTAAAATATCATTTTTTTTTCATTTAAGAATGCTCATATTTTTCAGGCTAACTGAAATTCAGGGTAAACCATCGAGGATGCTCGGCTACAAAAAGCTTCATAGCCCAGCAATGTTATCTTTACCATTTTGAAGGAATGCACACTTCCTCGCTAAGTTATTCTCGAATAATACCCGTATTTGAAATCAAAAACCTGTTTTTTTTATTTATTTAAGCAGAAAGTATTACACATTTCCTTTATTAAGTTCTCAAATGCGTAGTCCGGTAGACCGAAAACAATATGTATTTACTTTAAAACTGTATAAAATTTACTATATTTACGGGTTCGTCAAAGACACCAGAACAAGGAACGCGATATTCATGATCAGAATGTTATCAGAAATCGCAATACAAATACAGAAGGACGTGTACCTGTGTTTTATAGAGTACGTAAAGTCTTTCGACAGAGTAGGCCACAAGGATCTGTTAGAGCTGCTCAGTAACTTTGACATATTCGGGAAAGATAGAATAATCAAGAATCGATACTGGCAACAAACCGCCTGTTAACGAATAAAGCATTCAGTAGATATACAAAAAAGGATTTGTCTTCTCACCAGACTTATTTAACCTATACAACGAAGCAATTCTAAGGGAACTATAAATTCTATCAGGATTTATATAGGATATGCAGATGACACAGTACTGATAGCAGACATGGAAAGGAAACTACAAAACCTCCTAGAGAAAGTAGCAAAAGAGAGCGACTAAGCATAAACTACAAGAAGACAGAAGGCATGGTCATCAGTAAAAATGCAAATTATCTGGGAAGTGTTCTAGGACGGAAAATGCGACACTGAGATCCGAAGATGTATTCGGATGGCCAAAGACGCATTTCAAAAGCTAAGCAGAGTATTAAGAGACAGGAAAATTTCGTTGGAAACAAAGAAAAAAAAGTACTGAACTGTTACGTGATATCTGTTCTTCTGTATGGCAGCGAATGCTGGAGAATCTCCTCGAAGATAAACAAGAGTCTCGAAACAGCAGTGGTTCTACAGAAGAATGCTAAGGACACCATGGGCCGAACATGTGAACAACGATGAGGTTTTGGAGAGAATAGAAACAAAGAGGAAACTTATACATAACATCAGGAAGAGGCAGATGAAATTTCTTGGACACGAAGAAGGAGGGTTTGGAAAATCTGATACTCACAGGCCGGATAGAGGAAAAGACGGATAGAGGAAACAAACGCGTGACATACTTAATGGGCTTGAGCAAGTGGATGGCAGAGCAGGGCTTGTGAGAAATAAAAAAAGACAAAACTTATTATGAGCTACAAGGGACAGGAAGATGTGGAAGGCCATGATCGCCTACGTCCTGAAGGGATACAGCACATAAAAGAAGATATAGACAGTGTGAACACACACATGCACACAAGACGTATATATATATATATATATATATATATATATATATATATATATATATATATATATATATATTAAAGAGGACTGACAAGGTACTCCCTTAAGCTTTTATTTAATTTTTGGAACGCACGTATAGTATAAGTGTTTTCTTTTCTGGACATGAAGTGTATAAAAATTGTCTGTATACCCGAGCGCTTTCGGCTATTCATTTAGCCATTATCAGGGATGTCTGAATGTGTAGATTTTTTATGTCTGTACCTAGAGTTATGGAATGTTTTTTTTATTTTTTTATTTTACAAACACGTTCAGCATGTTGTAACCGTATTCATAGTTGATGTTATTGAGCGTTTTATATATATATATATATATATATATATATATATATATATATATATATATTATATAAATGTTTTACATACGGTCAAAAACAATTGTTGGGAGTAATTGTTTTTGTCCGTATGTAAAAAATTATAATAAATAGCTACTGTTCTACTCCTGGTATTGAGCCCTCTTTTTGAATTCATGCTGTGAACGTTTGAATTTATATTCTTTTTGTTCTTATATATATATATATATATATATATATAGCCAGCCTTCCCTGACGATCCGCTTAGGTCAAACCTTGGTAGGTTTTCCTGGCTCTCTAGGGTTAACTAGGTCTGCTCTACTTAACGTATTGAGCACTTTATTTAGTCATTTTGCTTACTCGTATCGGTTTTTTTTTCTTTTGACTTTGGACTTGCATGCTAGACGATTATTTTCGGCTAACGTACATGTTCTTTGTTCTTTCTTTTTTATATCTTTTTTCCCCCCTTTGGTATTGGTTTGATTATTCGCAAATCAAGACACCGAAGGTTTTCCTCAAGCAGTATAATTTCTTATACTTATAAGATTATTATATAGTATATATATATATATATATATATATATATATATATATATATATATACTACTGTATCTTACTACCTTTTACAAATTTTAGCGTCGAAAATATTATAAATATTATCTGTTACTTCATTACACGTGGCACCTACCTAACCAATAAGAAATAGTCAAACACAACATACCATGAATCTGCGTCTCTGCTTTTTATCATTTTTATCATTTCTATCTTGATCTCTGACGAAGCTTTCATAAAGTGAAACCTGTTAGATAAAGATCTGCTTCCTACTTGTTCTTTATCCTATCATTTTGTCGGATTCTTAGCCATAGTTAATCTCTCTCTCTCTGTATATATATATATATATATATGTGTGTGTGTGTGTGTGTGTGCGTGTATGTTTATATGCATGTTTTTGTTTATCTTTTAGATTAGTAAAATGTAAATAATTACATACACAAAAACATATGCATTTATATGTATATATGTTAGGAAAATTAATGACAAAGTGGCAAAGAATGTTCGTTTGACGCTTTTCGCCATTTAGGACTTCATCGGACTAAAGTGATGTTATCGCATTTTTTCCACTTAACGTTGTTCTGGTATATACCTTGTGGAGATGTTTCTTTATGGCAACTATACAACTTGTTTTGAAAATCGCACTGAAGCATGAAACTGCCAGTCTTCAGGCGGTGTTGATTCTTGAGTCGACACTATGTCCATACACCCTCTATCTTCGGTATTGGAAATTCTTATATAGTAAATTTATGTATAGAAAATTTTAAACAATATGTGTGTGTATGTAAGAAAATATCTTAATATTTCGGCCCAGTTGGTTTCAAAATCCCAGTTTCTCCGCGGCCCTTAAAAATGGAATTTTCTCATTATCGTCCTTACCCATCTTTCTATTTTTGTTAGTCGTTTGTTTAAAAGTCTAGAAAATCAACACAATCAGCAACGAAAGCACCCGAAACGTTACCAGAAAGCAACATTATAAGACAAACACACAAAGGAACAAACATCAGGGAGCAAAAACAACTGTTTGTTGGAGTGTGACAAATTCCAGCTTGGTGAAAGAGAAAAACACCGATAGCGAGCAGTTGGGCAATAATGGCGGCTATGACGTCAGTGGAGAAGGCGCGAAAGTATATGGCTGTTTGCCAATCACCTTCTTCGTTTCAATTAGCCGGTGCCTACTTTTTAATCTCCGCGCAGAAGAGTGCGCAAGCTGAAGAGTGTGATTTCACGGCGAAAAGAGTTCGAATAATTGAAAGAAAATGAGATGCTCTGCCCTTGGGGCCGTAGACACGAGCGTTAGGACTGACGGGTGAAGGAACCGGATAGAAAAAAATAAATAAATAAAAACGTAGGGAGGTGCTTGTGGGAAGATTTTGCATGTTGAAATCTGCACCGGGAAATAATCTGTGACAAGAAAAATAATTAATACAATGAAAGAGGAAAATAAAAATGGCATGAGTACAAAGAAAGAGAGAAGGAGAAATAGACGAGGAAAGAAGGTGTAGAGAAGAAGAGAGAAGGAGAAATAGACGAGGAAAGAGGGTGTAGAGAAAAAGAGACAAAGAGAAATAGCGTGAAAAGAGGGTGCAGAGAGGAAAAGAAATAGAAATAGACAGAGAAAGAGGGAGTAGAGAAAAAAAGAAATAGGCGGGGAAAGAGGGTGTAGAGATGAAGAGAAAGAGAAATAGGTGAGAAAAGAGGGTGTAGAGGGGAAAATGATATAAGCGGGGAAAGAGGATGTAGAGAGGAAGAGAGAAAGCGATATAAACGGGGAAAGAGGGTGTAGAGAGAAAGCGAGAAAGAGGGTCTAGAGAGGAAGATAAATAAGCTGGGAAAGAGAATGCGGGGAGCAGGATAGAAAGAGAAATAAGCGGGGAAAGAGGGTGTACATAAGAAAAGAGAAAGAAATAGGCAAGAAAAGATGGTACAGAGTGGAAGAGAGAAAGAGAAATAGGCTGTGATAGAGAAGGTAGAGAAAAAGAGAAATAAGCAGGGAAAGAGGGTGCAGAGAGGAAGAGAAATAGGCGGGGAACGAGGGTGGAGAGAAGAAGCAAGAAAGAGAAACAGGCGGCGAAAAGAAATAGGTAAGGAAAGAGCGTGTAGAGAGAAAGAGGGGAGCATAGTTGTCCTGGAGAAGAAGAGAGTATGAGAAAGAACTGGGAAAAGTGGGAGTAGAGAGGTGGAAATGGAAGAGAGCGTGGATAGAGGGAATAGGAAGAAAGAGGCAAGGACGAAAAGAGCGAACAACTGAAGGCGAATTAAAAAAATTAACATTAAAGTAGAGTACAGAATTAAAGAAACAGTGAAAAAAAGGTGAAAACAAAAGAAAAAAATAAAGAAGGAAAGACGGAGAGGGTGAAAAAAGAAAGAAAGAAAAGGAACGACATTAGAGAAAATGATAAGAAAGTAAGTATAAAAAGCAAGAGAAATCTAAAGATCGAAATAAATAAAATAAGTCGGAAGAAAGAACGGCTAAAAGAAAGAAAGAAAAAAGAAAGAAAGAAAGAAAGAAAGAAGGGAAATAAATGAAGAAAATTTTTTTCTATCGATCTATGTTTAAAGAGAAAATAGATATAGAGAGAGGGGCTGTAAGAGAGAAAGTGAGAAGAGGGAAATTATGAAAATTATTAAAACAATTGATATAGTATTTATCTGTGCGTGAAATAGAGGAATCCGTAGATCTATAATACATCGAGATAATCGATAGACATCAATATAAACCGATACTATCTATCTATCTATCTATCTATCTATCTATCTATCTATCTATCTATCTATCTATCTATCTAAGAATCTTTGGTAGCGGATATAATTGAGTGCTTGCCTCGAGCACATAATACTTGGTGTTCAAGCACAGGGAAAGGCAGATTTTAGAGGCTGGCAGCTTCTCTTTACCAAGGCGATTCCTACCCTCTAACACTCAGCGCATTCGTGTGCTTAAACAATTTGGAATATCTATCTATCTATCTATCTATCTATCTATCTATCTATCTATCTATCTATCTATCTATCTAGTAGTTAAGTATATATCGTCCCTGCAATAAAACTTTGAATGTCTTTCAGCAGATGTCATTCTCTGTACAGATCTACTCCTTATGCACTTTCTCTTCTTTATTTCTCCTCACTTCGCGTTTTCAATGTAAAACCAGCCCTTCATATCCGATTCCCCCTCCTATATTTATTAGTATATTCTAATGCATAGATTTACGGAGGAGACAAGAATACGTGAAAGCTTTTACACACACACAATCGCGCACACACATATTCTCTCTCAAAGACACAATCATACAGATATTTCTTTTACTTACACTTAGTCAGTACACATATTTAAGTAGACATCCCAGCTATTACTCTTAAATAGTGAAATTGTTATCTATTGAGCAATGGAAAGTTTTTATTAGAGGACGGTAGATATCACCATTTTTTTTAAACGCACAAATCAAGGATGCCTTCTGAAACACGTGTACAGACTAAATATAACGTTTATAGTATTAAAAATAATGTAGATTGAAAATATCCAGCAACTGATTAAAAAATTATATATATTCAGCAATCCTGTGTATACAGACACACATACACATACACACATGCATATATATATATATATATATATATATATATATATATATATATCACAAGTGTGGAACTCTCTTCAACTTCTTGGTTTTCCAGTCAACTTTGATCTTCAAAATTTAAATTCAATGTTAATTGCTATCTTGTCTTCACACTTCTAGCATTATCTCCCAGGTTTTTTA